GAGAGAGAGAGAGAGAGAGAGAGAGAGAGAGAGAGAGAGAGAGAGAGTCTCACGTTACAGTTCAAGCTGTCCTTGAACTCACTATGTAGCCCAGGCTGGGCTCAAATGCAAGTATAGTCTCAAGCACACAGTGATCCTCCTGCCTCATCCTCTCAAGTGCTGGGATTACACACATGCACCTCTATGCCTGGCCTCTTACCTTCAGAAAAGGAGAGGCTCCATTTCTGTCCTTTTAGGCAAAAGCCTAGAGCTGACTCCAGTTACCAACAGATGACACAGGAGAGGGCCTCTCCTCGAGCCTTTTTGGCACACACAGACACACTGGAAATGGCCTCTTCTCCATGCTACCTGCCACCCATTTTCTATTCTCAACATGTTTTCTCTGAGGCGCCCTGATGCACTCCAAGGAGGTGCTCCCCTACAGTAAACCTCTCCTGCTTCGCCAAGTACAATTCCCATGCTGAGGACTGGCTTCTCATATTCCTCTATGCCAGCCCCAAGAGCTCATCCCAGGATGAGGAGGCAAATGTTAATCCCACAGAAGTGAGACGTACAGCACCCTGCCCTGCCACACCTGCAAACCTACCTTGGTTGGAAGCCATCGCCTCCATCTGGGAACCTCCAGAATGAGCCAGGAAGGTCCAGGATCCAGAAGCTGGCCTGGCTATGGCAGCTGCACAGGTATCTAAGGAAAGGAGGGCAAAGAGTGGATCAGGACAGAACTGGAACCTCAGATTCCAACATTCTGCTGTGGGGGAGGGAAGTGAGTGGGGGATGGTGCGGGGCTACTCCACACAAAGTTCTAGTAAGTAGACCCAAACCAGGGTTGCCAGGCATAGTGACAGACACTCTGGAAGGCAAGGCAGGAAGATTTGAAGTGCAAGTACAGCCTGAACAATTTAACCACTCAGTGAAACCCTGGCTCAAAATAAAAGATTAAACCAGTCGAGGGTGGCAGATGCCTATGATCCCAACACGTGGGAGGCTGAGGCAGAAGGATTACTGTAAATTTGAGGCCAGTCTGGGCTACATAATGAGACCCTGTCTCAAAACACCAAATTAATTAGGCTGGGGACATAGCTCAGTTTAAGGCTCTTATTTTATTTATTTATTTAGGAAGTAGGGATTGAACTAGAACCTTGTGCTTGCCAGGCAGGCACTTAGGCCACTAAGCTATATCCATAGCCCAAGGCTCTGGTTTTAGTCTTTTATATACCAACCGCCATCACCCCCCCAAAAAAAACACCTAAATAACACAAACAAAAACAAGAATTCCCTCCAAACTACAGTTCAGTTACACAACTGATGTGCACCTCTTTACAGTAATTTGTAAATCCTTTCTCAGATTCCAAACATTGTCTTACCTTTGGTTCTCTAATCTTCAATTCTTCATCAACATATCTAATTTTGTGCTCTTCTATCCCACCCAGCTCTGTAACTAGCTTCCTAATAACACACTAGTGGCACACATTTGGCTTCATTCAACTGTGGCTATATTTTGCAACCACATTCAGAGCACACAGAGTCTGTCTAGGTAAGAGTTGAGGAAACAAAATTTTAAAATTAGTACTGTCTTATACGACAAAGGATGTTCATCCTTTGAGTGCACATAACCTCCTTGGAAAACTGCCCCGCAGGCCCCAACCAGGCCACTATCATAAGCTGGACAGGCCACTGAAGCCACAGCCTGTACTTTGCTACAAAAGCCCACAAAAAAATAACCTAACCAAACCAACCAACCAACAACAACAACAATAACAAAAACCCTGCCATGCTACCGCAAATATCTAGGCCAGAAAGTCCTTCTCTGTATTAACTCACTTTGATAGTTTTTTTTTAAAAAATTAAATACTATGTAGGCATGATTCAAAAGTCAAATTGTGCAAAATAGAACATACAACAATATTCTTCCCACTCCTTTCCCCTGAAACCAAGTTCTCTATCCCAAACAAAACCGGTTTCATGTTTCTTGTGAAACTGCACATTTTATACAACTACAAATACAATGATATTCAAAAAAAGAATTCGGGTTTTTCTGTTTCAAAAATTAATGTTTCATTGTTTTGCCGCTGTGAAGAGTGTTACAGCGGCCACCATCTTTGTAATATCTTAGCTCTCATTTTCATTTCTTGAAATTATAAAGAGAATATTTACGTTCTATTAAAACTTCTAAATGCTCTAGAAGGGGCACCTTATTACGCCATGAGTTGCTACTCACCACTGTAAGAGTGCGGGTATTGCCGATTAGAGGCCGGAGTTTAAATCTTAGCTCGAGCCCTGGAACACACTTGCTCCGTTTCGTAAACTAACTTGTCTCTTTGTTCGTTTTGCAGAATATCCAATACCCATCAGGCACTCTTTGCCGCCAATCCTTTCAAATTGGGGCGGGAGACCGGATGTAAAAGTGTTGAGGAAGAAAAATCTTTCCTAGGCTATAAGGAATTTTGAATCCTGGAGCATTAGGACGTTACAACTTTGGAAAGAGGTGTGCATCTTGGGATCAAGGCAGGACCGTACACATCGATGTTCAATCCTTGTCCATCCATAACCTCCCCCCAGCTCCTCAAGACCTAGCACTGTCTGGCACACAGTGGGCACACTCCATGAGTCTTTAGAACACCTGCCAATGTTGCAACTTGTCCCAATGTCTGCAAAGTTGCCAAATTGCCCCAAGAGAAGTCATGCACTAGTGCGCCCCCTTCTGGTCGGTTGACGCTCCATTAAACTACACTTCCCGGCATGCCACAGGACAGACTTCCGGTTGCACCGGAAGGAAATTTAGAAACCGTTGAGCCAGAGCGGCAGCTGAGGCGGAGGAGTGATAGAGTAGCGTGGCAATGTTTCTCCAGTATTACTTGAACGAGCAGGGAGACCGGGTGTATACGTTGAAGGTAAGGAGAAACAATTAATAAGCGAGTATAGCAAAGAATGTAGGCGGGAGGAGTGCTAGAGCCCAGCGGGCGAGTTGCCTCGCTGAGTGCGGGAACCAGTCTGGAAAGGAGTCGTGGCGGAGCCAGTGGCACGCTTGGTCTGACCGTCAGGTCTCTTGTCTTCACCTTTGCCTTTTTTCTTGTTATCTCCTTCCCATTCCATCGCTTTTGTACTGAGATCATTTTCTTCCTCGAGCAGAAATTTGACCCAATGGGACAACAGACATGCTCAGCCCATCCTGCTCGGTTCTCCCCAGACGACAAGTACTCGCGACACCGAATCACCATCAAGAAGCGCTTCAAGGTGCTCATGACCCAGCAGCCGCGCCCTGTCCTCTGAGGAAGGTTCCTCCTGTCTCCTGTCTCGTCTGCCTCCTGCTGCCCTTCGAGACTCCATAACCAGCCGTCAGTCCGTGAGCCCTGAAGGCTTCTTACCATCAGCATCTTTGGAATCCAGTCTCTTCATTGCCTTTGATAATGCAGTGTGTGGCAGTAATGGTGGCATCCCCGTTAAAGGAAACATGTTTTGAATTATTGCCAGGTCATTAAAGATAAAATAGTTCGAAAGAGTTCTCTTGTGTGTTGTGGGAGGAAAGAATTGATAATTTTGGTTTCTTAAACTAAGAGGAGAGAGGAGAGTACACTTAGGAGTTGTAACGACTGCTTGGAAGAAAAACTTCGTTTACCACTGTAGTAGGAATAGAGCTGTGCTGGGAGGGATAGGAGGCTATTGGAGAAGAGGAAGAAAGGTGGGGTGACCCAAATGTCAGCATTCACTGAAAGTACACTGAAATGATCTCTTGCCCCTTTGGACTCGAATTGCTTGAAAAATAGTAGACGTATTATAGTATGTTGGAAGTGAAAAGACGTATCATTCTCTCTATGTAAGGCATAAATATTCACAATTGGGCAAATTGTGAATATTTGTATATATATATATTTTTATGTATACGATATAAAATATATACAGGCCCGTG